TCAAGGCATCATCTGATCGGCCTTGAGAAGCGTGCCATCAATTGAGATCCGATTAATCAACCCCTCTTATTTTAAAACAATTATTACTATATAGTCCATATATTTACTCTCGTATATCAATAAGAAAATTTATGAATGGATGTTTCGATTTATATTAAACCAATTTTCTCTAGAAATAAAAATATTGCTCCCTGGATTCTGACATACCTCATGTGGATGTGGGGTAATTACATAACCAAAATATAAAAGTATACGATTCTCTACCCTATTATACTTTTTGTTAAGTTTTTTTCATTTTTCCTGGATTAAGGAAGATATTTATGTTTTTTGTTTTGATAAAAGGAAGATATTTATGTTACATCAGTGGAGGAAGTAATTAGTAAGATAAATAAATAAAATTTTAGTTTACTCAAAAAACACATTATATAGAAATAATAGAGCATGAAATGTATTAAAAATTATAAATAAAAGAATTTAAATTTCAGAATGGTGGAAAATGGAATTCCCGTTGTTGGGCCACTTGGCCTGGTAAGAGTGGTTCATGCACCTTACTTTGTCGAGTAGTTAAAGCCAGTAGATGTAAGACACGTTTCTGCAACAAACATGATCCAGACGGTCCATATTCGATCTAAGATCTCGTGGTCAATCCCTGCGAATCGACGGTCATTATCGATCTTAATAAATGTAAACGATTTTTTATCCTTCATTTGGTAATTTTTATTTTTGCATGCCAAGTTAAAGTTACGTAATAATTCTACTTATAGTAACTCCTACTGTAGGAGTCCTACATATACACACGCTTTCCATTGCTTCTCTTAGCAACCGAACCAAATCTTTGCGACTTTTTTTGTTTTTGGGGATGATCTTTGCGACTTAATTAGCTCGTTTGATAATAATAAATATACAATTTGTTTTGCGGCATTATTATGTAATGTCTAAATTTAGTATATAATGATTTGTTTTTCTAAAATGTGGCAAATTTATCATTACAGATATATTACTTGGCTTGTTATATTACATACTC